GATGTGAACTTTATTCCCATCAAAGGTATAAACGACATATCCAAAATATAACTTGTCAAAACATAGATTACAGCGATTTGCATTGTGGTCAACAAAAAATACAACGGCCCACTCACCCACCCTCTGCCAGTGACACTCCCACAGGTGAGTAATATGCCCGATTACAAAACTCGTCCCAAATCTAATTGATCCATTCCCCTACAAACAGACAACCAAAGCAACACATAAAAACAAAACCATAACAGCTATAAACTCAGACAAATGAACATCAGAGAATCTTTTTATTTATGGCTCCAACAACATATTGTAGTGGGAAAAAAGTATTCAAATATTCACTCTAGTTAAATAAATGGAGATTAATGGATTTCACTCAGTCGGCACTTTATTCATATCCTTGCAAAGAGAGAACAGTTCATCATACAGCCCTTATGGCAAAGCAATCAGCCCTGTTCTGCATGAGCAGCGTTCACTCCCCCTTACTTACAACAACAATAGAAAGTAGTGAAAGTCAAAACAAATTACAGACACTTTGGTTAACACTAACATGTTATGAATAAACCTTGAGAAAGAATCTGGCTTGTTTCGGGAAGAAGCGATGTCTGGTCTACAAAAAGAGACCAAGTGAAAACTTTTATAGTGGGTAAATAGGATAAATTAATATATGAAATAAGAGAAATCTAAATTTTCTGACAGCAATATACATTTGATCCATTTTGTCTTCATGACCTTTCAATCTTCACACGCTTGAAGATATTTTCCCGTTTTTTAAATAATTGCAACTTAACATTGAGACAATACCTCAATCTTTCTAAATTTACATCTTCAGATATCAGAGCTTTCCCGATCTGAACGGAAGGGGCATCACAACCAACTCATTTGGTTAATATAGCCTTCTTATCCAACATCAGGAGAAACTGAACAGTCACACTGTGAACTTACAGGGGTTCAGGTATAAGTTCCAGCCAAGGGTGTACCTTTGTAATGAAAGTTGGTGGGGACACTAAGGGTGGTGGTTGATGGACCTACAGTTACTCGACACAAACGCTTTCAATAGGATTTGAGCTCAATTTTTCCAAAACTGAGCTCAAACATATATTTATTTAATGCCTTCCTATTATTGAGAACACAAAAGAACCAAAATACACTGATATTTATGGGTACTTAGACATTAATGTGTATTAAAAAAAAGGACGAGTAACAGCCAATTCCGAGTCCAACAGCAACATATCATGCCTCCCCAGTTTCATTCAACCATGTATCCAGAAAAATGTGAATCGGTTGATTGATGTTTTTCCTTTCAGCTAAATCAGTGATTATCTTCCTTCAAAGCAACAAAATCAAATTTAGAAATTTGTCCCACATATTGTTGAGAGCCAAAGTCTATGTAGTGGAATTATTGGTGGGGACATGTCCACA